CCTCCTCCTCCTCCTCCCCAAGCTGGCCGATGGTTTGAGATTACCCTACGGTCACGAGCTTTTCGCTCAGCGCGTCGCGCGGTTGTGGACTGCCGCGCTTCGGCGCGACACTCGATCCACGTCCTTCTTCCCAAGCGTCCACGTCCCGAGTTTTCCCCGGCGTCCTGCCCCACGAGGCGGAGCGGCAGGCTATCCGCATGTGGGCATGTATCGCAGAGGCTAATGCTGCGACATGCTGAGCAAAGTTTCCGAACCTAGACTTGCAGGGCCCCGACTCCAGGACTACATGACCGGAATCAACACGGTGCAGGCGAAGAAGAAGAGCCAGTTCAATTATTACGCGTGAGGCGTTCGGCCTTCGGCGTGGTTTCTCGTGGCACCATGCCCGCGGGCGACGAGCAGGGCTGGCTCTGGCTCATGGGGGCAGGAAGTTTCAGCGGAAGTTCAAGGGCAGGGAGGAGATTGTTCTGCATCCGCTGGAGATGGTGGGCGCGACCGCAGGGAGGGGGGGAAGGCAGGGAGGGGGGCGGTCACGTCGGCACTCGCGGCTGCGCCGTCTTGGGAATGCACAAGAATGTCTCATTCGCAGACGGTGCCAGCGCGAATCGTGGCTTGACCATCGAGGAACAAACGATTTCACGACCATGATTTTTCCGAGGTCTGCGCGGATTTCTCCGATCGGCGCTAGACCCTCCTACCTGGCGCGCGGTGCGCGCCAGGGGCGGCGCCGGATGCGCCGCCAATGGGCCCCAGCGCCGATCCGAGGAATCCGCGCGCACCTCCGACGTTGCATGTTTATGTGATTGTTTGTTCCCTCAGTTATGTGGGAGCGAACAGGGGACAGTCCTTAGTGGGCCCTGTTTTGCCAGTTCTGTTTTCCGTTTTCTTGCCGGTTCCGACGCCGTTTTTTTACCGGTCCCGTCGCCGTTTTTTGACCGGTTCCGGTTCCGGTTCCAATGCTGGAGCCGTTTTTTTTGCCGTTTCGGGTCGCCGTTTTTGTTGCCGTTTCCATGTTCAAGGGATTTTTTTTAGGAAACGGTGAACAAACGGCCCTGCCGTTTCCGGGGCCCAGGCATCAGTCTGAATTATTGCAAGAGGAGCTCGAGTTTGAGCGGGAGGGGTCACCGCTGCTGGTCGCGGGGAGTCGCCCGGCGGCTGGAGCACCCGAGTGTGTGTGTGTGTGTGTGTGTGTGTGTGTGTGTGTGTGTGTGTGTGTGTGCTGGGTGTTCGTTCTCGGGGGTTTGTGCATGGGGTTGTGCTGGGGGTTTGTGCTGTGGGGTTGCGCTGAGGGGTCGTGCTGGGAGCTGTGCTGGGGGGTTGTGCTGGGGGTGTGTGCTGGGGGGTCCCGGGAGTTTGTGCTGGGGGGTTAGGGGGGTGTGCTGGGGGGTTGTGCTGGGGATTACGCTGGGTGTCTGTGCTGGCGGGTGTGCTGGGGGGTTGTGCTGGGGGTTGTGCTGGGGGGTCGTGCTCGGGGCTTTGCGCAGGGGGGTGTGCCAGGGGTGTTCTGAGGGGGTGCTGGCGGGTTGGGTTGTGGGGGGCTGGGGGGGCTGGGGGGTGAGGGATGGATTGTGCTGGGGGGTTATGTTGCTGGCTGGTTGTGCTGGGGGTTTGTGCTGGATAGTCGTGCTCGGGATTTTGCGCAGGGGTGTTCTGCCCGCGGTTTGTTCTGGGGTTTTGTGCTGGGGGGGTGCGCAGGGGGGGGGGGTAATGCAGGGGGTTTGTGCTGGGAGGTTGTTCTGGGCGGTTGTGCTCGGGTGCTGTGCTGTGGGGTTTGTGCTGGGGGTTGTGTTGGGGAGTCGTGCTGGGAGGTTCGTGCTGGGGGTTTGTGCTGGGGGGTTGTGCTGGCCGGTTGTGCTGGGGGTTGGGCTGGGGGGTTATGCTGAGGGGGTGTGCTGGCGGTTTGTGCTGGAGGGTTGTGCTGGGGGTTGTGCTGGGGGTCATGCTCGGGGGTTTGCGCAGAGGGGGGTTATGCCGGGGGTTGTTCTTGGGAGGTTGTGCCTGGGGGTTGTGCATGAGGGGGTAATGCAGGGGGGTTGTGCTAGAGAGTTATGCGGGGGGGTTGTGCTGGGGGGATGTGTTGGGGGGTTGTACTGGGGGTTGTGCTGGGGGCTTGTGTTGGGGTGTTTTGCTGGGGGGTTGTGTTGGGGGGTCGTGCTCGGTGTTTTGCGCAGGGAGTTATGCTGGGGGTTGGTCTTTGGGGGTTGTGCTGGGGGGCTGTGCATGGGAGGGTAATGCAGGGGGATTGTGCTGGAGGATTGTGCTGGGGGGTTGGGCTGGGGGGTTGTGCTGGGGGTTGTGCTGGAGGATTGTGCTGGGTGTTCATGCTGGGGGTTTGTGCTGGGGAGTTATGCCAGGGGGTTGTGCTGGGGGGTTATGCTGTGTGTGTGTGTGCCTGCTTGTGGGTTGTGCTGGGGGGCCGTGCTCGGGGGTTTGCGCAGGTGGGTTATGCCGGTTTTCTTTTCTGTGGGGTTCTTCTGGGGGGTTGTGTTGGGGTTTGTGTTGGGTGCTGCAGCGTGTCCCGAAGGCTTTTTCCTACTTGTTCCCAACATGTTTCCGTGGACCCTTTTCGAACCTCCTTCGAAATTATTCTTGGCTTTCTGCGAAGTTCCGTTTCCTTTACAGCCCAATTGCCACGCTGTCTTGGCTTTAGACGCGCATCGCACAGACCCTCAGCACTACCCCCCAGCACCCCTCCCCAGCACAGCACCACCGTACAATCCCCCAGCACAGACCCCCCAGCACAGCCCCGCAAACAGCCCCCCAGCACAAAGCCCCCAGAACAACCCAATGCACAACCCCCCAGCACAACCCCCCAGCGCAGCTCCCGAGCACAACCCCCAAGCACAACCTCGAGCACAACCCCCTGGCATAACCCCCCTGCACAAGCCACTAGCACGACCCCCCATCAAGACCCCAGCACAACCCCCAGCACAGACCCCTGGCAACATCCCTAGCACAACCCCACCGCGTACCCCCCCCAGCAAAACCCTCAAGCACAACTCCCAGCACAACCCCCACGCATAAGCCCCAGCAGTCCCCCCCAGCACAATCTCCAGCAAAGCCCCCCAGCAAAACCCCCAAGAGCGCCCCCCAGCACAAACCCCAGCACAATCCCCCAGCACAACCCCCCAGCGCACCCCCCCCGCACAACACCCCAGCACACCCCGCAGCACAACCCCTCTGCATTACCCTCCCATGCACAACCCCCCAGCACGAACACCCAGCACAACCCCCCAGCACAGCGCCCCAGCACAACCCATCAGCACAACCCCCCTTGCACGACCCCCAGCACGACCACCCAGCACCACCCCTCAGCACAACAACCCCCAAGCACAACCCCCCAGCACAACTCTCAGTACAACCCCCCAGCAACACCCCCCAGCACAACCCCCTGCATTACCCTCCAGCACCGGACTCCGCAAAAACCCTCCCCTGCAAAGCCCCCAGCAAAACCCCCAGAACACAGGCCAGCACAACCCCCCAGCACAACCCCCCAGCAACCTCCCTCCAGCACAGCCAACCCCAAAGCACCACCACAATGCACAACCCCCGAGCCCACCCCCCAGCACAACCCCCAGAACAGCCCCTCAGCACAACCCTCAGCACAACCCCCCTTCATAACCCCTCCAGCACATCCCCCCAGCACAACCAACCAGCACAACCCCCCAGTTATAGCCCCAGCACAGACCCCCGCACAATATCCCAGCAAGTCCCCCCAGCACAGTCACCAGCCTAGCCCAGCCTAGCCCAGTACCCCCAGCACAACCACCCAGCAGAACCCCCAGCACAACCCACCAGCACAGCCGCCCTGCATTACCCCCTGTGCACAAACCCCCAGCACAAAACCCTGGAACAACCCCCCGACATAACCCCCGTGCGCAAAAGCCCCGAGCACGACCCCCCAGCACAAGCCCCCAGGACAACGCACCGGCACAACACCCCAGCACAAGCCCCCAGCACATCCCCCCAGCACAACCCCCTCCAGCTCAACCCTTCCAGCTCAACCCCACCGCAAAACCCCCCCAAGCACAAACCCCCCAGCACAACCCCCCAGCACAACTCCCGAGCCAAACCCCCCAGCACGACCCCCCAGCACAACCTCCCAGCACAACCGCACACCACAACCCCTCAGCACAACCCCCAAGCACAACACCCCAGCGCAACCCCCCAGCACCAGCTCCAAGCACAACCCCCCCGTCGCAAACCCCAAGAACGATCCCCCAGCACAACCCCCAGCAGACCCCCCTGAACAACCACCCAGCAACTCTCCTCAGAACAACCCAATGAGCAACCCCCCAGCACAAGTTGCCAGCTCAACCCCGCAGCGCAACCCACCAGCACAACGCCCAGCACAACCCCCCAGCGCAACCTCCCTGCATAACCCTCCCATGTATCAACCAAGGCCGCAGCACGACTCCCAGCACAACCCCCCAGCGCAACCCCCCGCACAACCTCCCGTCAACCCCTTCCAGCACAACCCCACCCCACAAGCCCCACCGCAACCCCACAGCGCAACCCCCTCGCACAACCCCATGCACAACCCCCAGCACAACCCCGCAGCACAACCCCCCGGCACAACCCCCGGCAGAACCCCCCGTGCAAACCCCCTAGCGCGACCCCCCAGCACAACCCCCCGCACAACCGCCCAGCCCAACCGCCCAGCCCAACCCCCCATCACAACCCCCTGCATAACACTCCCACGCGCAATCCTCCAGCACACACACAGCACAACCTCCCAGCACAACCTCCCCCCACAATCTCAGCAACCCCCCCCAGCACAACCCCCCAGCACAACCCCCCAGCACAACACCCCAGCACAACACCCAGCACAGCCCCCAGCACACACATACACACATACAGCATACCCTCCAGCACGAGCCCCCAGCATGACCCCCAAGCACCCCCCCCAGCACAGCCCCACAGCACAACCCACCAGCACAACTCCAATGCACAACCCCCAGCACAACCTCCCAGCCCCCCCCCTGCCCGACTTCCCCACGTAACCGCCCAGCGCAACACCCCCAGCAATCCCCCCAAGCACGAGCACCAAGCACAACCGCCCAGCACAACCCCCAGCACAATCCCCAGCACAACCCCCCATCACAACCCCTGGCATAACCCCCCGTGCAACCCCCCTAGCACGATTCCCCAGCACACACCCCCATCACAACCCCCAGCACGAAAAAACAAGCACAACACCCCAGCACAACCCCCTGTACAACACCTCTGCATAACACCCTCACGCAGAATCCCCCCCAGCACACACACACAGCACAACCTCCCAGCACAACCTCCCCGCACAATCCCCCAGCACGAACACCAAACACACACAGCACAACATAAACCCTCCCACGCACAGACCCCCAGCACGACCCAAGCACGACCCCCCCAGGACAATCCCCAGCACAACCCCCCCTGCATTACCCCCCATGCACAACCCCCCAGCACAACTCCCTGCACAACCCCCCTGCACAACCCCCAGCACAACCCCCCAGCACAACACAACACCTCAGCACGAGCCCCCAGAACATCCCCCCAGCACAACCCCCGCAGCACAACTCCCCCGCACAACCCGCCAGCGCAACCCCCCAGCATAAGACTCAGCACAACCCCCCAGGCAAACCCCCCCAGCACAACCCCCAGGCATAACCCCCAGCCCAACTCCCCAGCACAACCCTCAGCACAACCCCCCAGCACGATCACCAAGCACAACCCCCCAGCGCAACCCCCAGCACAACACCTCTGCATAACACTCCCACGCAGAATCCTCCAGCACACACGCACACACACAGTACAACCTCCCAGCACAACCTCCCCGCACAATCTCCCAGAACGAACACCAAACGCACACACAGCACAGCATAACCCTCCCACGCACAGACCCCGAGCACGATCCCAGCACAACGCCCCAGGACAACCCCCAGCCCAACCTCCCTGCATTATATACCCCCCATGCACAACCCCCCAGCACAACCCCCCAGCACAACCCAAGCAAAAACCCCCAGCACAACACAACCGCCCAGCACACACACCCAGCACAACCCCCCGGCACAAGCCCCGCAGCACAAACCCCCCAGCACAACCCCCCAGCACAACCCCCAAGCATTACCCTCAGCACAACCCCCCAGGCATAACCCCCCAGCACAGATCCCCAGCACAACCGCCCAGCCCAACCGCCCAGCACAACCCCCCAGCACAACCCCCCAGCATGGAGGCCCCAGCACAACCCAGCTCCCCCAGCAATCTCCACCAGCACGACCCCCCAGCACAACCCCGCAGCACAATTACCCAGCACAAGTCCCCAGCACAACTCCCCAGCACAACCCGCCAGCACAAACCTCCAACACAACCCCCGAGCACAACCCCCCAGCACAACCCCCCAGCACAATCTTCCAGCACTACCCATCAGCACCCCCAGCAGAACCCCGCAGCACAGGCCCCCAGCACAATCCCCCAAAACCAGCAGCGTAACCCCCAGCACGACCGCTCAGCATGACCGCAATGATTCGGGGCGCGTTGACTTGCTAGGTGGAGTGTATTTTCGTTGCATGAGCGTCGTAGCTCCGCTTCTGTTTGTTTGCTTTGCCCCGCCTTGGGTTTGCGATATCTACGGACAACCTAGGATTGCCAATCCTTATTCTTTGGAGTTGTAGTTGGTTGAAATCCCTGTAGGTGTTCTCACTTGTGTTCTATGGTAACTGGGCCCCGGTGCTGGTCTGGCTGGCTCGTCGCCGTCCGTCGCAGCCCCAAGTGCAGGTCCGGCGGGTTCGTCGCCGCTCGTCGCCGCCGTCCGTCGTTGCCATTCGTTGTTGTCCTTTCGCAGTTGCCCACTCGCAGGGCAAAGCAGCTCATAGCATAGCAGTGCTGGATTTCTTGACGTTGATTTGCAATGCATTGTTTTGAATTGTGTCGCGTTGCGTTGCGTCGCGTTGTTTTGTATCGCTTGGCATCGCATTACATTTCTTCGCGCTGTGTTGCATCGCTTTGCAATACGTTGCAGTGCTTTTGCACTGCTTGGCGCGGCCTAGAGTCAACCACACGGGTTGCACCACCTCGATTGCACCGCACGGGGTACGAGACGTCACCGTCTTATGCCAACGCTGGCCAGCTTGTTCCCCGAAGCGCAGTGTTGGAGGAGGGGGCCCACACATGCGACGTCCTGATTTGTTTGTTCAGTACGGCGTCCCCGGAAGTCCAGACCCTGTCCCCGGGGCCGCTTCTTCATCCCGAGTCGTTTTCTGACGGTCCCGGGGCCAGGCAAGGAGGGCCCCCCAAGGGGCCGAACACAGTGAGAACCAAAAAAAGGCGTCCTGCATGTTTGACGCCGCGATCGTGTCTTGGGGGGGGAGCAGCAGCAGGAGTCGACTACACGTAAGAGTGACCTTTCGCCGGAGTGACCTTTGGTGCGGGCCCAATGGGGTCCCCCGATCGCCGAACGCGATGCGGTAGTTGCGTCTCGCGCGCTCGTGTTTGGCTCCCTCGCGCCCCCAAAAGCTGCGCACCAAAGGGCACTCTTGCCCAGGGTCACTCTTACGCCCAGCCGACAGGAGGAGAAGCGCACCAGTCCTTCCCCCCTCGATGCCCTCCCCTCCCGCCGGGCGGCTCCGGCCCGAGCGGGCCGGCTCCGGGCGGCGCGGCGGCGGGAGAGGCGCGTGCCGCACCCGCGTTGACGTCTGCGGCACCGCGGGGGGGGGAGAAACGAAGCCCTGCGCCCCGCCACCTCCCAAGCTGGGGCTCGACTGCAGGCTTGAGTTCCTCCAGGATTGATTTCCCCCGTCGAATCTACTACGACGGATGCATAGAATGGTCGCGCATCTACTGGGAATGCTGGGTATGCCGTCGTAGACTCGACGAGAGGATCATTTTGGGCGTAGATCGATGCTGTAGTCGATCCCCCACTCGGACCTCGCCCCCCCTGCGGTCGGGAATTTTCGGAGGGCGCGTCGCTCCGCCGGTTCTGGCCCACCACGCTTCGGCGCGACGCGTTACGGCCACCTCTTGGTCCCCAGTCGTCAGCGTCCCGAGCTGTTCCCAGCCCCCCGCCCAGAGGGGCGGAAGGGCACGCTATCCCCGCGTTTCGCGGGGGCCGCCGCCGCGACACGCAGTGCCATAGTGCCTGGCCGTATCCCATATTTTCTCTCGGCAAAGGACAGCTGCATCGACATGCGTTGCATGTTTCAGAGGTCCGCGCGAAACTGCACAAGGGGGAAAACAAACAAGGGAGGCCCATGCCAAGAAACACCCTGCTTGCCTCCAGGGTGCCCTGGGTTTCTCGGGTTTCAATGGTTTTGCTATGGAAGCGTGACGTTACCACACCAAACATCCATGGACGTCCTGGAGTCTCAGGGTTGGGTTTCTTATGGAAGGTTTCTTGTGGACTGGCCTCCACTGTATTCCATCCGTTGATGGCCGAGGCTTGCATGGCGCTGCTGTGAATTCTGCCGCAGCTGACCCAGTTCGATGTCGATGCTGGTCCAGTGCAGCCCGGTCCGATGCACATCCCGATCTGACCCGGCTTGCCGATTCGATGCTGCTTGATCTTGGCATCTTGCCACCTCGCCCCCCGTTTCCTCGGATGCAACTCTTGAGGGGGTCAAATTCTGGCTTTGCCCTTTTCCGAAATCTGGCCCAATCCGGCCGATCTAGTCCCTCGGAGTTCGACTTAATCCCGCTTGATGTTGTTGGATTCGTTTCGTTTAGTCTGTTTTCATGCCGCTTCACCCGCGGCCGAAAACCCGGCGCAGCCGTCCCCGAGGGGGGGCTTCATTCATCCTCCGTGGCCCTGCCGACGAAGACCTCCCAGCACTTGCCTCCTGTCGGGCCGAACGAAAGGGGGGGACAGGGAACGGGGGGGAAACGAAATCTGCTGCGTGCCGCTGGTTTCGGCCCCGCCGCCGGGCCCATTCCTCTACACATGGGCGCCGGGAGGCGCTGGGAAAAGCAGCCACGCGAGCCGATCTTCTGCCCTGCCCTTCGCTATCCCACCCTTTTTCGCCCCCCCCCCGATCCCAACCTTTCCCATCCCTTCTCTCGACGAGGGAACCGCCGCGCAGAGACAAGCGCGGCGTGTCTCGCAGGTCCGCGCGAGATTGCCCGGGGGGGGGGGCGGCGCCGGACGCTCTTGCGCGCGGCCCGGCCGCAGGGCCCCAGCGCAGGCCCAGGAATCGGGGGCCTCCTTGCTCCGCGCTCCGCGCTCCTCCTCCGCGCTCCTCCTCCGCCTCCTCCTCCTCCTCCTCCTCCTCCTCGAGCTGCCGTTGTGGCTTCAGCAACGGGGCAGCTTAGACTTCTTGTTCTCCAGCTTTCCCCTTACTGAACTTCGGGCCAACTGGGCGAGCAGAAAGATGAGGCGGGTGCAATGAGCCGCCAGATTGCTTTCTCTCTCTCTCTCTCTTGCTTCTCATGCCACTCTGGCGTACCCCTCAGAGTCGTGATGGCCCTACGTGGAAGCTCGTGCAGTATAACCCGCTGGCGTGTATGCGTGCGGACAGAGTAGAACATGTGTGCCAGGTGTTTGCAGATGTGGAGGTAGTGGGCTTGACAGAGACTCAGCTGAGGGCCAGAGAGGTGGATATCCAGAGACGGGGAGTGCTTGGTTTGATCGAGGCGGGCTGGCAGCGAAGCCCCTTTTCGAATCGTTCTTGCGGTATCTCCGTGCTGTTGCATCGTCGCTTTCGGGACGAGCATGTGCGAGCAGTGCGAGGGGGGCCTGCTGGCATGCTGGGGAGATGCCTTGCGGTGAGAGTCAGGACCAAAAGCGAGGAGTTCACGGTGCTGGCCCTCTATTTCTCCCCCAGGGTGACGGAGACGAAGGAGCAGGCCCCTTACGAGAGGACGGTACGCATGCTGTTTCAGTGGCTGTCGAACGAGCTGGCAGGGTGCCCCGCCAGGTCGGTGCCAGTGATTTTGTGCGACCTCAACGACGGGATCGGCTTGGCCAAAGCGTCGGAAACAGTGATCGTGGATCCAGAGGTTGTCCCGTCCGCAGGTGCCTGTGTTGAGCACTTCGCGGGGGCCGCTTTTCGCGCAGTCCTGCAGGCGCAGTACATGTCGGCCTTCTCCACGCTGAGCGACGTACCGACGTTCTACGGCACCGGCCACACATCCATCGTGGACTATGTCTGCCTCCCGACGGCCATGGCGCAAGCTGTGCGCGTTGCGGGCCCCCTGGTAGGCAAAGGTAGGCAGTTGCAACTGATCAGCACGGCGACGCGTCGTGATCACCTCCCTGTTTTAATGGAGGTCGTCAGGCCATCGTTCGCGCGAGAGGTGCTCGGGGCCTCGCCAGCCCCCCTCGTGCGCTGGGACAACGGCGCTTGCACCCCGACGCGATGATGGCAACGCTTCGAGCAGGGAGGGGGCTTTGTGAGTTTCTGGACGGGGTGGAGGGGAGGATGGAGCAAGCGCAGGCGGAGTGGGCCCTTCTTGCGGCCCAGCCTTCGCCTGATAGGTTGTTCGCTTTCCTGGAACACGTTTTATAGGATGCAGCAGTGCCGTTGTTTTCCGAAATCTTTCCAGAGCGTGCCTGGCAAAGCGGAGCTAGAGGTGACCCGTTTTCGACTGCTGGCGAAACGACGTGAGTTTCGGACGGCCCTGGCGGGCACCTTTTCCCAGGCGCTGCAGGCTGTGACAGATCAACTTCGCCGTGCTAGGGAGCTGCGTGCGTTGTATCGATGGGCTTTCTTCAGCAGGCGCGTGAGGAACACATCGAGGCCTTGCGTGAGTCGTGGGACTTGAGGAACTTGCACGCTGCTTTGTTTCACGATCGCGCAGCGGCGGGAGTGCGCATCGGCCCAAAGAATGGGAATCTTCTTGAGGTGCGCGCTGCCCTGCCAACGCGCGAGGAGCAGCTGGCCTTCTGGACGCAGCCTGGACCAGGGGGGGGATGGCGGCCCGGGGGGGGGAGGGATGGGGAGGGTTGCCGCCCGTCTGCTCGGAGGCGGCACAGTTTAACGCCCTTGTGCACGAGCAGGCGGGAGAGGATATGAAGAGATGAAGAGGATATGTCGGAAGCTGCGTAGGCATCCTAGGCGTAGGGTCTCTTCCAAGTTGCCGTCCCCCGCGGGGCTCTGGGACATGGCATTGCACCCTGGGGCTGGGATTCCTTCGACGAAGCAAGTTGCTCGAGCTGGGGCCCCCGACCCGTCTAGACCGACTATTTTGTTAAGTAGCTGATGCTGTGCATCTGGGGATTGGGCGAATTCGGACGGCCATGTGTACCCCCCCGGGCCTGGCACTGCAGTCAGTCCGGCGGTCTTCGGAAAACCGATGCGGAAGGCCCCGCGGGTAAGCGCTGGGTGCGCATGCTTCCCTCTTTGGGCAAAGTGTGGCAGTCGGCCATTATGTCGAGGCCGAATATGGCCTCTGAAGTGCACGGTGACCAACCCAGTAGGTGCAAGGAGACTCCGATGTTGGTTTCGTCGGTTTTAGCGTGGAGGGCGCACAAGGCAGGCAGATCTTTTTGTGGGCAGTATCTCGATGCTACGAATGACTTCGGCAGCATAGCGCAAAGTCGTCTGAAGGAGGCGGCGGAGGAGCTGTTTGATGGAGGCGCGATTCCCATGGGGCCCCAGAGAGTGGAGCAGGCCACCATTTGTGTTTCATCCAAATTCGGGTCCGTGCTTTTGCGGCCTTGTTGTGGAGGGATGATGGGGGGCCCTTTCATGGTGGCGGCGTGGGTGAGGGCCTTCCAACCAAGTGTGCAACGGCGGCGCAGCGCGATGGCCGCGGCGAGGGCAACGGACGGGGGTTTTGTGGCGTGCAGCCCCTGCGATCCCGATCTGATCGACCTTGCGCTGCGCCAATATGCTGACGACCTCAAGCTTTCCCAGTTAGGAAGGGAGAGGGGGAGAGCTGCACCTCTGCTGGCACGAGTGCGCAAGGCGTCCGATCTCTTGTCGGGAGCCTTGGCGGGGGATACCTGTGCTCAGAATATTAAGAAACAAACTTGTTTGTTGCACCTGTCGGGCCCTGGGCCCCATCGCGATTTGCGAGATGTTCGTATGGGGCGTTTCAAGACCTCAGGGAGTGTTTGTCACCAGGCACGGCACCTTTGGTTTTTTTTTGCTGATGCCCGACTGTCGCAAGCTTTTGCTCCAGAACCCAGGGCCCGTACGCGGGCGGTGTAAAGGTTTTTGTCCCATCGGCAGTTTTTTTTGCAGGGCGTTCCATATCGCTAGAAACGCTCCATGTTCTCATCTTTTGTTGTAGGCACGGCGGCGCAGAATCTAGAGGCGCATGCCCCGTCAGATCGCCGGCCCGCTGTTTTGCATAATGTTGTAAACCAGCTGGCGCGCCAAACACTGAGGGGAGGAGCTCGCGCAGAGAGAGGGAGTCCGCACACCCGTGTCTAACGAGCAGGTACGTAAGCACTGCCGCCTGTGTTCGTTGTCTGTCGAACTGCGGGTTCGGCGGCTTGCCGCGGCTGCAAGCAATCTCGCGACGCCCTGAGCGGCGTCGACAGCGGCTCGCGGCACACTTCGGAGGGACGGGGTGGGGGGCGGAGGAGACTACGACGGAGTTGGGGCAGCTCAATGCGTCGGCGAATCCGTGGGCTGCGAGGGCTCTAGAGGACGTGAAAGCCCTGGGGGCGGTGGAGGATGCTGGGTGGCTCCTGCAGGAGATGGAGGATTATCTTGCGGACTTGATTTCGACACCGAGGCGAGGCGCGATTTACTGAAGGTGGATGTGGGCCTGCCGAGGGCCCAAGACGTTCAAACACCGCGCGCAAAGGGCGGGCCTGGGCGCCATGATCGTCGCGAGGGGGGGAGATTTTGGCGGTGCCGAGGAGAACGGGCAGTCGCGCAGGTCGTCGTTCGCTTCCAGTCGCGCCTGGTCCACTGGCATTCAGCGCGTGCGCCGCCTTGCCGACATGCGCGCGTCGATGGTCGTGACTAATCAATGCCCGTACTGCCTCGGCGTCTTCTTTTGCCGTCAAGCTGCGTATCGGCATGTCATCGCTAGGCAAGTTCGCCCGGATCGAATATCGAGGGGGCGCTTTCTTGGGGCCGCGGACATGCTTGACATCTTCGATTGCCTGTTGTGCGAGCATTCGGCTCAAGGTCTCCTGGCTTTACACCAATGCGTTGTTTCGCACGTGCCTTGGCATGGGCATGCCGCTCGAGGAGCCGAAGTGGGCGCTGAAGCGCGGCGCCGACGAGCAAGGAAGTCAGGAGCGGGAGAAGTTGCTGACGCATTCCGGCGCCAGCGGCAGCGGCACCGCGCAGCTGCTCCGAGAGCGCATGATGCATGTGCCCGCCGCGCTGGCTCTCACGCAGGAGGCCGAGCTTCGAGACCTGATCGCGCCGGTCTACCACGCCTTCCTCATTCCCGCCGCCTCGCCCATTGCGTCCGCGATGAAGCGGGCGGGCCAGGAGTACCACGCCCACGCCGAGCAGCTGAAGGCGAACGGCGGGCAGGACGGAGGCGGCGGGGGCCACGACATCCTTGGTTCGCCATTCTTCACGTGTTCAAGGCGCTGGTCAAGGCATCGCGCGAGACGGCGGACCTGAATCAGACGCACTGCGAGACGACCGAGGCCGTCTGGACGAACCAGGTACTGAAGGAGGAGTTGCACTCGCTGGCGGAGCAGATCCGCCACTGCAGGATCAAGGACACTCGCAAGAAGGAGAACGCAGAAGAGATGATGAGGATCACCATCTGCTTTTCGAACGACTGGCGGGTCCTCGAGGCGGCGGTGTGCTCGGCCACCAAGAAGGAGAACGGGGTGACAAAGATCGGCCCACCGCCGAGGGGCCCGCTTGCGAGGGTGGCCTCGAAGTTGCTGGAGGAGTTGAACAACTTCAGCTGAGACGAGTGGCGCCTCCTCGGGGGATCGGCCACGCGGAGGGGGGACAGACGTCAAACCCAGGCCCTAGTCAGGGGCCTGGACCGTCTGGCAGCGCTGGAGAAATTGTGCGCCTGGCTGGGCGCCTTGTTCTCATGAGGGGCCATTTGGACCCTGGAGACGCACTAACTTTCTTAAGGTCCGAGAAGGTCGTTAAAGGCCCCCGAGACACTCGGAGAAAGGGAAGGGGCGGGGTACGGCGGGGAGTGGGCGGGGGGCGGGGGGAGGGCAGTAAGGCGTGCGGCTTGTGCCATCAGGCCCACGTGTGGGCCATCCAGGTGCCGTGGCGCCTGCAGGCCAGTCGCGGGATCCCCCGTGCAGCGTGCCTGTCGTCATCTTTCAGTTGGCACACGGAGCGTGCGTCGCCCATGCCGAGGCGTCAATGGTGTTCTTGTTTTATATGATCCTCCTCCTCGCTCCTCCCCCTCCTCCTCCTCCTCCTCCGCCTCCTCTCCTCCTCCTCCTCCTCTCCTCCTCCTCCTCCTCCTCCACCTCCTCCTCCTCCTCCTCCTCCTCCCCGCCCTCCCCCTCCCCCTCCTCCTCTTCCTCCTCATCCTCCCCCTCCTCCTCCCCTCCCCCCCCTCCTCGCCCTCCTCCTCCTCGGGTCGCCAACGGCCCCGTGTGAAACCGTCCGGGGGTCAACGCAACCGGGGGTCAGCCAGAGCGCCCGATTTTGCAGGATCCTGCAGGGCCAGAGTCGCATTGACCCGGGTTGGGGTGCAGGATCCTGCAAGATCTTGCAGGATCCTTGGCATTGACCCGGGCTTGGGTGCAGGGTCTTGCAGGATCTTGGAGGATTCTGCAAGGCCTGACTGACCCGGGTCTGGTTTGACCCGGGTCAGAAGATCCCCGAAAGAATTCTGCGGGGAGGCCCCAACAAGTTCGTGTTCTTATTGCTGCGGCGACGTTCGAAGGAGGAACGCCATAAACATAAACTCCTGGCGCTCCGCGGGGACTTCGCGGATCCGCGCTGGGCCCCCCCGGCGGCGCCTCTGGCGCCGCCCCTGGCGCGCTCCGCGCGCCAGGGAGGGGGGTCCAGCGCAGATCCAAGAAATCCACGGGACCTCCAACAGTTTACGTTTATACCTTTTTTTCCACTGGCAATCCGAGCCCCACCCTCGCCTATCAACGATCCAGGCAACTCCATGGGCGGCGGGGGTAGGCTTCGGAGTCCGTCGAGACCGTGGCGAAGTCCGAGCACTGCCCCCGGGTTCCCAAGGGTGCAGGAGGATCTGTGGTTGGTGAGGGCAGGGTTCGGATGTCGCCACCTAGCATTGCTGGTTGTCTTCGGTACTCGACCTGACTGCGCGGCCGTGCTCAGCCTTCCATCCCGTCTGGCACCCGCTGCGCGCTCCACCACACCTCGCGTCGCATCGAGGAGAAGGAGGAGGCCGAGCTGCAGCACCAGAGGCCCTGGTCGCCAGCCAAGCTTGAATTCCGCTGACATGAACCGTCCCCAGGTTGAATGGCGAATCTGCCTCACTGCCTCGAAAGCCGTGGACCTCTGAGGGAAGCGCAAGCATCCCGCTCACGTGAGTTTTGGCGCCACTTCTCCTCTGGTCCAGCTGAGACACGGGCCTGCATGTTGTTCGAGTCCGATCGTTAGCGCAATCGTGGGCACTGGGCGTCGGCTCGTTGTCTTCGCCCCCTGCCGCCCGCGCGCCCGATGATCACCTGCCGCGCGCGTGCACCAGTGGCCTGTGATTTATATCCTCTGGCGATAACGGCCGTTACTGGAGGGGGGGAATTCCCAGACGGCGTCAGCCCGAACCGTGACGTTAGCAGGTGCGGGTGGGGTCAGCATTCCCGGTAACGGCCGTTATCGCGAATCCAGAGGAGCTCGGGGGCGGCCAAGAGGTGGTTGATGATTGGAGGGGGTGGCTATCATGGCCGGGGCCATTATATCTCCCCAGATGCCCTGGCGCCTGTCCTGATCTCACTGCTGCGTCCCCAGGGCCTCCTCCCTCGTCCGCGCGCATGCGTCGGGTCATGCTCTGCGCGTCCCCCTCGTGGGCGGTCCGCCGAGTGGACGCCCCCGAGAATGCTGGAGATCCGCCGCTCCGCAAAAGTTTGGGCGGCCGGCTCGCCTGGCCTCGGGAGCAGCAAAGCAGGACCCAGGACGAGAAACCAGCTCTACACCCTAGGCGGTGGTAAGGAAACGTAAGTGTTCGGCCAGAGTCTCGATTATGCCTAATGTTTCAATGCAGATCCTCGGATCCTGACAGAAATTCTGGGTTTGTCTTCGAATTCTGAGACTCAGAGTTTCTTAACCCATGATTTCTCAAGCACTTCGCAGGGTGCCGGGAAGTTCGTGCCGGACGAAAGGGGGGATCTGGAAAATGGGGGTTACGAAATTTGCTGCCTGCTGCTGGTTTCGGCCCCAACGAGGGGCCCATCCCTCGATACATGGGCGCCTTCCGGCGCTGGGAGGCGCCGGGAAAATCAGCTGCGTGAGCTGATTCTCAACCCCCCCCTTTGCTATCCCCCCCTTTCGCCCGACCCGAAAAGGGTAGGGGAGGAGGAAGAGGAGGAGGAGGAGGAGGAGAAGGAGGAGGAGGAGGAGGCATCGGAATCTTGCAGCGGCCAGGTGTATTTGGGAACGCTTCCCGGCGTCTCGCATGGGCTCCGCGCCGCCTCCGCGCGTGTCTCCGCACAGGCCCCGCGCGCAGCACGGGCCTCCTCGCTCGGGCGAGGAGGAGGAGGGGGAGGGGGAGGAGGAGGAGGAGGAGGAGGAGGAGGAGGAGGAGGAGGAAGAGGAGGAGGAGGAGGAGGAGGAGGAGGAGGATGACGAGGAGGAGGAGGAGGAGGAGGACGAGGAGGAGGAGGGGGAGGAGGAGGACGCGCTTCGCGGCCTGCTTGCGCTGGCCGCGCCCCGCGCGCAACGTGTCGACATGGCCCTCCAAGGCCCTTGCATCTTCGTCGCCCGCTCTCATTATGCAGGTTGACTGTCTGGCCACCGCCCCCGCCGCGTGCCTTGTGCTGGACCAGTGGTGTGCAAAAGTTGCGTCCCCAGGGGAGGCCAATTTTGTACACAACCCCCTCTCCACGGTCTTGTGCCGGACCAGCATGTGTGTGGGGCCCGGTGTACAAAGGTCGTGTTCCCGTGGGGGAGGACGCCCGCGCTCGTGGACCCACGCGTCCCCTCAGATCAAGGCGTCGCATTTTTGTTCGCAACTGGCGTGTTCGCCCGGGTTCGGGCGAGAATTTCCGCTAACTGGTAAGTGCCAGAAGCAGCGTTCCGTTTGAACACGGTCATTCGCAGCACGCTTGCAGGTCTTGTGTTGAGCGGCTCCTTGTGGCTCCCCGCTTTTTGGTACACTTGCTCTCCCCGGAAGGGGTCTACACAGCACCAGCACTCTGCCCAGCTAGTGCCATCTTGGGCGGCGAGGATGGTGTGCAGACCCTCGTGGCCTCGGCCAGGAGGGCGCACTCTTCCTCCTCCTCCTCCTCCTCCTCCTTTCCCTCCCCCTCCTCATCCCCCTGCTCCTCCTCCGCCGGGCGGGGGCTCGCGCCCGCGGAGGCTCGCGAGCTTGTCCTCCGGAGCTCTGGCATTCCTTCAAACCACAAGCCTAGTGCACGCTGGATTGTTTTCCTCCTGCTCCTCCTCCTCCTCATCCTCCTCCTTCTCCTCCTCCTCCTCCCCCTTCTCCTCCCCCCCTTCACCTCCTCCTCCTCCCCCTCCTCCTCCTCCTACTTCTCCTCCTCCTGCTCCTCCACCTCCTCCTCCTCCTCCTTGTCCTCCTTCAGGACGACTTTGGCCGGGCACGGTGGTGCCCAGGTGCCTTAATCTGCGCAGCGATCCCTTGACCTTCTGGTCTGCCGTCTGGCTCCCGAGCGGGTGGTGGGCATCCAGCGGCACGAGGCGGCCGCTTCCGTGGGCACGGCGGCCGCGGCATCCGCCGCGCCAGGAGCGGGGGGCTGGGCGGTGGCGCGAAGCCCCGTGACGGCCCACAAGAGAGGAACATACCGATGCCGATGCTCCTCAGTGGTTCTGTGGCCCTGGGAGGGGCGTCCCGTCTTCCTGGACCCCCTCGCGCTGTTTCTGGTCCGCTCCTTGCGGCCCCAGGGGGCTGTTGCCAGGCCTCGGGACCGTCAACAAAACGACTCGGGCGGAACAACCGGTCCTGGGGAAGGGGTCGAGACTTCTGGTGTCGACGCCATGAATCATAATTGAATCTAGCATGTATCGACATACGGTCGATGTAGATCCATATATATATATATATAAGAGAGAGAGAGAGAGAGAGACAAGCGTCGTCGGGTATCTGGGTACGCAGCTCTTCCGATAGCGATGCTCCTGGTGGGTTTCCTGGGCGGCCCCCCCATCGCAGCGGCCGGGTCCGTCGCGACGGAGTCCCGGTCAGATAGCGCGCCCCTGGAGGTGCCAGGAGCAGTGGCTGGGGGGCACGCGTCGCGGGAGTCCGCGGTATGGTCAGGGAATTAGCCGGTCCCGTCTGGTCTCCTCTGGCTTACCTTTAAGCAGAGGCGAAGCGTCCTGGCTCGCCTACAGGTCCACCAGAGCATGTTCTAACAACCTATTGTGGTTAGCACGAAAAGTTACAAGAGCAGTTCCCGCCGACATTGTTTTGAGCATGTCCTAAGAACACTGTTTTTGTTCTTAGAACATTTTGGGGTTCTACGAACATTCCGTGGTAGGCCTATAGGAATGCCGGGACGGTCGGTCCCTGCTCAATACCCATGGCTCGTGCCATTCCTCCGATTCGATTCGAGTCTATTTCGATGGCTTCCGATTCCGCCTCGATTCGACTTGGGATTCCGACTTGGGTTCCGATTTCTTACTGGAGGCGTTCGAGCCTGCCGATTGCCGCCGATTCGACTTCTCCCGACTTTGCTTCCGATTTCGGCCGATCCGATTCATTTCGATCGCCGATCCGACTCATCGATGCAATTTTAGGCTCTCTTGCTTAGCCAGGTTTTGGGACGATCGGGAGCAGATCGTCCCCCCCCTCCCTCCGCTGACCCGGGTTCAGGATCTGCTGTTCGACCGACTGTCTGAGGGTCGCGCCATGGCCTCGGCCGGACCCAGAGGCAGTTCTTCTTCAGATTCAGACCAGTTCGTGTGCATGGCATTTCCCCACGCGTCCTCCTACAGGGGGATTTTGGAGGACAGATCCCCAAACATATTCTAAAATGGTTTACAATAGTCGAACAATCGTCCTCCGATTATTTTCCTATTTTTGAATATTCCTCCTGTAATGGGACATGCCCGAGTTAACGCCAGCACCCTGATCCGACGGTGTCCCCGCGCCAGTGTTTTGTCGTGCGATTTGGCTCTCGGGGCGGGGCGGGACATCTTTGAGCAGGGGGTGCCTCAGAGGTATGACTTGGAGTCGGTTGCGGTGGAGAGCAACAATACCACAGAGGGCGCCAATCAACGGTCAAGAACAATTTCTTGCTGAACACCACCAAGAAGCCAACTATTCATCATTGTCCTCCTCCTTCTCCTCCTTCTCCTCCTCTCCTGTAGTATCGTCCTCCTCGTCACCATTGCCCTCTTCCTCCTCCGCAGCTCCCTCCCACCATACCATCGCCGTCCACCGTCTCTTCCTGGTCCCTCTCTTTCTCTCTGCCTCTTCCTCCTCTTCACTCTGCTGGAGCCCTCCCCCCTCGTGTTACATCCTCTTATACCTCCTCCTCCTCCTCTTCGTGCTTCTCCTCCTCCTCCTCGTATTCCCCATCCACCTCTTCATTCCTCTCCTCCTCTCGTCCTCCTCCTCCGCCACGCTTCTACTCACCATCCTACACCTCCTCCTCCTCCTCTTCATCCTGCTCCTCCTCCTCCTTCTCCTCGTTCTACCTCCGTCGCCTCCTCCCCCTCCCTCCTCGTCCCCTCTCTCTCTCTCTCTCTCACGCCCCCTCCTCCTGCACGCTCCCCTCGAGCTGCGGGCGGGGGGGCAGGATGCCCTAGAGGGAAGGAGCTGGGTACCCGCCATGGCGATGCCGCAGCCGGAGCGCCGCCCCGTCGGCGCCGCCCACGTCGAGAGGGGAGATGCGTGCGGGGGTGGTTGTGGAGGGGCGGACGAGGGGAGAGGGAACGGAAGGTGGGGGGCGGGGGGGGAGGAAGGGGGGAGGGGGAGGGGTGGGGGGGGGAGGGAGGGGGAGGGATAGGGGGGAGGAATAGGGGGAGGGAGGGGGTGGGGGGAGGGTACCACTAAAGGAAGGCACGGGGACGGAGAAGCGCAACCGCCGTAAGAGAGGGGGAGAGAGGGCGGGAGGGAGAGGCAGAGGCAGAGGGACGAAGACAATAAAGTACCTCAGGCGATCGCAAACATGGATCAATGGGGCGTGGATTACAGTCGACCCGCAGAGTAAGGATAGGCATCCCTCCCAAGGGTACCCTTGCATCCTTGCCTCCTGGGTCCAGCCTGGGACCTTTCGCCGCGCCCCGCTCGGGAAACTTCGAAATGGGCGTCCAAGGCCCTTGCATCCTTATCGCGCTTCCTTACTCTACGGGTTGACTGTAGTGACAGGTCCCGTTTCTAGGGGAGATCGCGGATTGTTCGTCGCCTGGCGTGGCGGCACCGGTTGCATTTTGGGGAGCCCCCCCCGCCCCGATCCATGGGTTTAGCGACCGTGCGACAAATCCATGGATCGCTAATCCATGTTTGCGCGCCCCTGAGGCGCGAGGACGGAGAATCGCAACCATGAGAGGGGGAGAGACGGCGGGAGGAAGAGGCAGAGGCAGAGAGACGAAGGCAATTACTTGACATGTCGGGCATGTCCCTCTACAGGAAGAAGATTCAAGTATATTCCAGCAATAGTCGGGCAATAGTCGGGGGTCGAGTTTTCCATTACTCTTTACTATGTTTGAGTTTGCCTTATATGGTTGAGTAATCAGTTCATTATGTGTGAAAATTTGTTGACCATGATTTTATTTGTCCTCCAAAATCCGCCTGTAGGGGGTCATGCCCGACCTAACCCTTCCCCCGTTGCGCTTCGTCCTCTTCTGTCTGCCAGCAGGCCCTTGGTCCCCAGCCGGCAGTGGCAAGGGCTGTCCCCCCTGCGTGCTCGCCGCCTTTCTTTCCTCCTCCTCCTCCTCCTCCTCCTCTTCGTCCTCCTCATCCTTCTCCTCCTCCTCTCTCTCCCACTTCTCCCCCTCCTCCTCCTCTTCCTCCTCCTCCTCCTTCTCCCTCTCGCCATCTCGCTCCTCCTCCTCCTCCTCCTCGTCCTCCCTCCTCCTTCTCCTCCTCCTCCTCCTCCTCCCTCTCCCACTTCTCCCCCTCCACCTCCTCCTCCCTCTCGCCATCCTCCTCTTCCTCCTCCTCCTCCTGCTCTTTCTCCTCCTCCTCCTCCTCCTGCTCCTCTCCCTCTCTCTTCACTTTGATGCGCTCGACCGCGAGGACTTCATGCTCGGCACGACCCGCAGCATGGTGTCGATGTCTCAGTTCAACGAGCAGAAACAGGAAAGCGGGAGCCTCGTCGGATGAATACGGAGGCGATGTTCGTTCACCGCTCTGAAGCAAGTTAAACATCATCTCCATTCGAACCTCGATCATAATCTTCTTCTGCGGCCATACACCTTAGGCGATGCTTAAGAAAACCTAAGTTTTCGTCCAGAGTCTCGATTATTCTTAATGTTTCAATGTAAATCCCAAGATTTTGATAGAAGTTCTGGGTTACATTCAATTTCTGAGACTGTGAATTTCTGAACCCATGATTTCTTAAGCATTTCGCAGGGTGTACATCATTATTGTCAGCACCCTGCTGAGCAGATGCGTTTTTACATCGAAGCGTTGCTGCTTGCCCGACAGGTTAAGTGTCTGTGGCGGTACCGAGCGCCTTTGCTGCAGCGCTCTTCAAGACAGCCCTTCGGAGATTACGAGAGCTGCGCCGCCTCCCTGTTGCGCGCGCGTGTGAGGCCATCCACGTTTACCGAAAATTGACGACGCCGTGTGCAACAATGTTTTGGATAGTGTCATTGACGGCAGCGCGTCAGACCACATGGGTTGCCATGTTTTTTGTTTGCCCCGCATTCGGGCCCGCACAGTGATAGGTTGCGAACCCCGCAAATGCGTTCGCATATCTTCGAATCCTGATGACTCTTCCTACCGTTCCCTTCCTGAGTTGTTTGCTTCTGTCTGTTCGGCCCCCTGAACCAGCCAGCCTGTTGAGGCTCTCTCGGCATAGGCGGGCGAGAGCCTGTGGGTGAGCGACTAAGGCAAGGGAGGCCCTCCTGAAGAAGTTGAAATGGCAGGGGAAGTTCTACCAAAGATCGTGTGGACAGTTTCGGGCCTCTCGGGGGGGGGGCGCCATGGGGGATGCTTGCAGGCCTCGGGGGGGGGCCCTGCAGCTCCGGGGGAGCCTGGAGGAGCTCGGAGGGCCACCGGGGACCTCTGTGGGCCTTGGCGGCCTGCTCCGGCCCGCCGGCTCCGTGACCCTGGTCAGGATGTCGCGGCATGACGCAGCGGCACGTTTGGCGCGCACGTCTGAAGGGGCCCTGGGACACACAAATAAATACACACAAATAAAAATATTCCCCATATTTTCCCATATTTTCTGGGTTTTTGTCTTCCCCACCACTTCCCATATTTTCGCATATTTTCCTCGGAATCGACGATTAATTGTGTCTGTGTGTTTTTTCCTCTCCTGAACGTCTTCGCAAGGTGCTCAGGTGGGGGTCACCGAACGGCTGAGACCGGCTCCGCGGCGTCGTCGCCAGATGGTGCGCTGGCGGGCTGGAGAGAGCTGCTGCAGCCTGCTTGTCGACGTATCCTCAGAAGCACCCCGTCGGGTCCGTACCTGGGTGCCTCAGGCACTGCCGAGCTCCGTACCTCGCCAAGGGTTCCTGGGGCTTTTCAAGACACGGAGACCTGCGGATGACACCCGATGCTTCCCAGCGCCTCAGGAGGGCCTCGATCTCTTCGATCTAAAGTCGAGGCCCTCCTGAATATTCTCGATATCCGTAATCTCGTCGGTCTCCTTGATCGAGGCCCTATGAGGGCCATCCTGGAGATTTTCGAGGCCGCTCGAGGGCTTTCGGGCCTCAGGAACACGCGGAACGACCTCGACCTCATCGATCTCCTTCGAGGCGCCCTCTGGAGCGCGGGCCGCGCTTCCAGAGGGAGGAGTTGGGATGAGGAGGGCGGCGCAGGAAGGGGGGCGGGAGAGAGGAGGGAGGAAGGGGGAAGGGAGGAGAGAAAGAGGAAGGTGGGAAGAGGAGGGGGAGGGGAGGGACAAGCTAGGCGTGCCCGTGTCATATCTGACGTCCTCCCCTTCCCCCCCATCCCTTACCATGGCGTAGGTTCCCTCTCTATTCGCACAGTCGGATGTCGTAGCAGGGCGTAGCATTACAAAGACAGCATGGTGTCGAAGATCAACGCGTACCTGACAAAGCATGGCGCGACGACGCCCCAACGTGGGGGGGGGGCTTTGCGGCCCAGAAAATCAACGAGTCGGCGGCGCCGAATGTGTAATCACTTCCTATGGTGTTTTCGTGGGGGGGGGGGGGGGGGGGGGGGGGGGGGGGGGGCATTTTTTTTTTTTATATTTGTGGGCCTATTTGGCAGGACTGAGAACCATGCCGTGGCATGGCGCTGGGGATAACGAAGCCAGCGCTGCGGCGGGAGCACGATTCGGAGTGAACAGAAGCGCGGAAATGAGGCCAGCGTTGCAGCGAGAGCAGCATTTCGAACAAAAAACCAAGCGAAAGCCCGCTTCCCGGGAATCCGGTGTGTAAAAGAAAACCGTGCGCGGAGGGGGGCCGACCATTGCCCGGACGTCACTGGGGCTGAGAGGAGCGTAGTATTCTTATTGTGTCATTGTGGAGGAGGGAGGGAGGGGGGGGGAAAGGAGGGAGGAGGAGGGAGGGACGAGGGAGGGAGCAGGAGGGAGGAGGGAGGGAGGCAGGCAGGGAGGCAGGGAGGCACGGCCCGCGGCGAGGACTACGAGAAGAGCCTGGAGGGCCTCAGCCCGGGCAGCGAGGACGGCCGCGCTGCCGCTGGGGCCCGCCGCCGCCCCGGGGGGGGGGGGCCCCTCGCAGGTCCGCGGCCGAGGTGGAGCTTGGAGGCGCCGCGGCTCAGTGCAGGCGGGGGTCCGTGCAAACGGGGGTCGGCCAGGGCACCGGGTCCTGCCGGATCCTGCGGAGACCACCTCTGGCTGACCCGGGTGGGCGAGCCGCGAGGCGGCCACGCAGATGGGCCGACCCAGGTTTTTGCGAAGACCTGCGTTGCAGTTGTTTTCCTTGCAGGTTTTTGGTTTCCTGCTGCCCCGGGTCTGGATTGACCCGGGTCAGAAGATCTCTCAGGGCGGCAGAGAGGGGGGTGATGATTGCTCTGAGTTTCTTAATCAGCGTCGGGGGGGCGTCACCCCCGCCGACGGCCCCACATCGAACCCCCGTCGCGGGCAGCCACCGCGGCGCCGAAGACGCTCCGACCCCCGTCGCGGCGCGACGAAAAGGCGAGGTTGACCCCCGTGGGGGGCCCCCCCCCCCCACGCTTGTTCAGAAACCCAGATTAGGGGCAGTTGGATAGCATGGCGGGGCCACGATGCCTCCCCAGATTTCATGGCGCCTCCTCTCATTTCAGCACGTCCCCGGCCCCCCTCTGGGCCGCGCACGTGCCGCCGGCCATGATGTGCGCCCCCCTCCTGCACCCCCCTTCTTGGACGCCCCTGAGAGCCGACCCGCCGTGCTGCGAAGCCAACCCCGATCCTCCGCGCTGGAGACTATCCGCGACGTTCAGAGGAGGACAGGGTACCTATAGCGCTACCCTCTTCGCATGTTCTCCCTTCATCGAGCCTCCTGGGGGAGGCCCTGGTCGCCACCGCTGGATTCGCGTCGAAGTCCTGGTCAGAACACACACCCCAGGAAAGGTCGGGGGAGCAGCGGCATCGGGTATCGGTACCTTTTGGTTTCCCTTTTTCCGCGCTGGAAAACACCCGACACGTGCCCAACCCCTTCTCCACGTGAGGCGACTATTTGTATGAACGCCTGGATCTGCGTGACAAGCTACTCCGCTGCAACTCCCGGGAGCCCTCGAAGTTGGGAACAGCTGCGCATTTGGCAGCCTCCCAGGGAGCCGCGAGGTCTCGCGTAACAACCGCCTCAGCTGGATTTCCCAGACTTCTTTGCCTTGTAAGACGCAGACGCCGTTTCATGTACCCCAAGGCGATAACGGGCGTGACCAGGACGGGCGGAAGGGGGAAGGGGCCGGTCACGTCACGATTCACGCCAGGACCGTGTGGAAACGCTTTCGGAATGCCGTGGACATGGCCAATTCCCAGACGACGTTGGCGCAAGGCGTGACATGATCAGGGGGAGGAGGGGGAGGGGGGGCGGGGTCGGTCACGGCCAGAATCATGTTTCTTCGCGTTGAGCAGGTTAGCTTGGCGAACCCAAGCAAATGCAGGCCGAAGTGCCGCAAGGCAGGTCGGGCGAAGAAAGGTGGCTTTCCTATGGTGCCAGAAAGCGTGTGAGGAGCGTGCCGAAGAAGGTGCCGCCATGCCGACGCTGGCACTGGGTGCCGTTGGTGGAGCTCCCTGTGGGGCCACGAAGCGCGTGAGGGATGTACCTAGATGGGGCGGCGCTGCCATTCGAACCCTTCCACCGGGGCCTTCCGTAGATTTCCCTGTGGGGGCACGCAACGATTGGCGTGTGTGCCGAAGTGAGGCGGCGCTGCCATGGAAACCCTACCACTGGGGCCTTTGGTGAAGCTCCCTGAGAAGGGCGTCGAGACGTGTGAGGGGTGTGCCGAAATGGGGCGGCGCCGCCCTGCGAACCGACACCTGGGGCCTTCGGTGGAGTTCCCGTATGGCCAAGAAACGTAGGAGGAGTGTGCTGAAACGAGGTGGCGCCGCCATGCAGACCCTGGCATTTGGGCTTCAGTGGGAGCTCCCTAATCATGGGCCGCGAGACGTTTTGAGGGGCGTGCCGAAAAGGGACGGCGCCGCCGTGCGAATCCTGGCGGTTGGGCCTCGCTTGGAGCTCCCTCTGGGGCCACGCAGCGTGTGAGTGGTGAGACGACATGGGCGCGGCGGCCAATGCGGGCGCTGTCATTGGGGCCTCAGGTGGAGCTCCATATGGGACCACGGAACGTGTGAAGGTTGCGCCAACATGGAGCGGCGCTGCCATGTGAATCCTGGCGTCTGGGCCTTAGTTGTGGCTACCTATGGGGTCACGAAACATGTGAGCGGTATGCCGAAATGGGCGCGGCGGTGCCATGCGGGCGCTGCAACTGGGGCCTTAGTTGGAGCTCCCTATGGGTGATGAAAAGCGTGAGGGGTGTGCCGAAATGATATCCGCCGCAATGCAGACCTGGCAATGGGATCTTATTTCGAGCTCCCTACGTGGCCGCGAAACGTGTGACGGGTGTGCCGAACTGAAGCGGCGCTGCCATGCGAACCCTGCTGGTTGGGCTTTCGTTGGGGCTCCCTATGGGGTCACGAAACATGTCAGCGATGTGCCAACATGAACGTGGCTGCCAAGATCCTCCAGGTTGGATTGGAGCACGCCTCTGCGGATTCAAATCTAGAATCCAACACCACAGGATGGTTGGGGAACAAGCAGACGTTGCATGCCGAAGTCTCACTTCTACTTCCAGGACGCGAGGACGATCTAAAACGTGAAACGTGCATGTGCAAGCTCTGCCTTCCTCGCGCTGAGTCGTCATTGACGGGCGCAGCTTTCAGCGCGCTGTGAGCAGCAGCTAGCACGGCGAAGGACCCGACCATGCATGCAGTTGTGGGTACCGCAAGGCAGTTGGACTCGAAAGGAGGGGGCTAGGAAACTGTCGAAGGCTTGCGCGGGCAGGACGGAATGACGTTGCTGACGGGGTCGCAGAGGCCGGCCGTGACAGGTTACATCTGGATGTAACCCGTTACGGTCGATTTGCGCGTTTGTCGGCGCGGCTTCGGGGCGCAGCGAGCTGCGGGGTGGTCCGTAGAGCGCCACACGGGGTCACGAAGGCGTGCCAGGGGTGTGCCGACATGAGCGCGGTCACACATGCGATCTGTCCGCTGGGGCCTTCGGTGGAGCTCCCGATGGGGCCTTGCAACGTGTGAGAGGCGTGGCGATTTGCGACGGTGCTGCCATGCGATGCGTGCAGTCAGGGTCTGATGTGGAGCCACCATATCTGACAATGAAGCGTGTTCGTGGTGTGCCGAAATGGGGGCGGTGGGTTGACCGCCACTGGCGCCGTTGGTGGAGCTCCTTCTGGTCCACGATACGTGTTAACCTGGCATCGCCTAAAGTGTGTCTTTTTTCTCGGCGAGGACCATCCAGGAGCATCTTGGATCATGGGGCAAAACTGCACGCACGGAACCGAACAATGCTCTGCGAATGGACGGCCGAGCGACGTCAAGTGAGGGGTGCGCCGAAATGGATTCGGCGGCGCAATGCGAACGCAGCCTCTGGAGCCTTTGGTGGAACTCCCCCTGGGGCCACGAAGAATGTGATGTGATGGGGCGAACCGTGCCACTGGGTCCTTAGGTTGAGCCCCTTGTCCTGGGGCCGCGAAAGGGTAAGGGGTGCGCAGACATAGAGCGGAGTAGGCAGTCGCATCCTGGCATTGGGGCCGTCGGGTTGGCTTTTTTTTATGGGGCCACGAAATGTGCAAGAAGTGCGCCGAAACGGTGTGGAGCAAGCACGCGAACGCATCCGATGTGGTTTTGAGTGGCACTCCGTATGGGACCACGAAACGTTTGCCGAAACGGTGTGGGGAAGGCATGCGAACGCGGCCATTGGGGCCTTAGGTTCAGGCATGCAAAGGCAGCCACTGGGGTCTTGGGTGGAGCTCCCGATGGAATCAGGAAGCGTGCGAGGGGTGTTCTGACATTTGTGCGGTGGGGCCATGCGGGCGTTGCCAGCGGGGCCTTAGGTGGAGCTCACTATGGGGCCACGAAGCGCATTATGCATACATTCGCGCGGCGATGCCATGCGCGCGCTTCCATTGGCGCCTTAGGTGGATCTCCCCATGGGACCAGGAACCTTGTGAGGGTGCGCCGAACTGGTTGCGACGGCGCCGTGTTAATCCTAGCATTTGGGCCTTGGTTGGAGCTCCCTCTGGGGCCACGGAACGTTCGAGGGGTGCGCCGACATGGGCGCGGTGATGCCGTGCGTGCGTTGTCATTGGGGCCTCAGGTGGAGCTCCATATGGGGGCCACGAAACGTGTGAGTGGTATGCCGGCACGGGTGCGGCGGCGCCATGCGAACGTGGCCAGCGGGGTTTTCGGTGGAGTTTTTCACGGGGCCAAGAAACGTGTAAGAGGTGTTCCGAGCAGAGACGCGGGAGAACAGGGGGATGGCAGAGACCATACTTATGATGACGATGATGATGATAATGATGATGATGCTGCTGATGATGATGATGATGTTGATGCTGATGCTGATGCTGATGCTGCTGCTGCTGATGATGATGGTGATGGTGCACCGGACACTGATGCTTTTACTGATGCCACTGATGATACCGGATGATTTGGTAATGATGTTGTTGAGGACGACGGTGATGATGATGGTGATGATGAGGATGGTGATGTCGATGGTGATGGTGATGGTGGTGGTGCTGATGCTGATGATCGGGGAGTTGACGCTGATGGTTATAACGTCGATGTTGATGATTTGGCAAAGATCGAAGGAGAGGAGGGGGAGGGGAAGCGAGGAGTAACTACGAGCGTGTGAGGGGTCTGGCGTAGGAGGCTTGGTATGAAGAAGTTGATGCTGATGCTGCTGCTTATAATGATGACGCCGACGACGATGACAACGATGACGATGTCGACGATGAGCATGCTGATAATGACTACGAAGCTGATGTTGTGTTGTTGTTGATGATGGTGCTGATGGTGAGCAGGATGGTGATGTTGACGATGTTGATGATGATGATGTTGCTGCTGTTGGTGATGATGATGATGATGATGATGATGATGATGAGGATGAGGATGAGGATGATGATGACGGTACTGATTATTGTGATGAGGATGATGCGTAGGATGATGATGTGGATGATGACGAGTATAATGTTGATCATGTTCATGATCAGGATCGTCCTCATGATGATCATGCCGATGCGAATTACGATGATGATGATGATGATGATGGTGATGATGAGGAGGAGGAGGAGGAGGAGGAGGAGTAGAAGGAGGAGGAGGACGCAGCAGGCCAGAAGTAGGGACGGGAGGATGGGGAGGAAGGGATAAAGAGGAGGACGCGTGGCGTTGCCTCTTCAAAACGAGGACCAAACACCACAGGCTGGTTGGGCCTCGCGTGCTTCCACAGGGGCTGTCAAAATCATGTCGGGGCAATGAAGTCGTCATTGTCCCATTCATCGTTTTACCGATCGGCGCGGGTCTCGCACCCCCCCCTTCCCCCCTCCCATCGAGTAGATCTTGGCTGTTTTTGGCTCCCGTTTCGAGCAGGCGGGATCTCCCCCCATAGCACGCGCTGCTGCAAACGGTCGCCCGTGCATCGCCGATGTATCGGCGATGCGGCGCGATCCTCCGACCCAGTCTACGCCGACCCCATCTCGGAGGCCTCCAGGATAGGCCCAGTGCAAGGGAAACGACCAACGGCAAAGGCCAGACGCACCCGCAGAGGCAGACCCCCGCCATTCGGGCACGGTCCATGTTTCCAATGTCCTTCAGGTTGGTGTCTGCATTTCAGGATGCTCGGATCCCGCGAGGGTCGACATTTCAGGGTCCGTGTGGTCGGGGTCCATGTTGAGCCCCTTTGTGGAAAGTCTACATTTGAGGCCTTTTTCGCGGGTCTAGGTTTGAGGTGCCGTTATCGTTTCTCCGACTAGTGGGATATGCATCGACCTCGATTGGTTGATACAGTTAAGGCGCTGAAATAAGGACCGCTTTGCGCTCAGGAGGGGCTCGGCTTTTCGGGCCATGTTTTAAAATTTCTGTCGTGGGCGTGTGTTGAGGCCTGGCCCCGCCGTGGACAGAAAAAGCACCTTTGGTCCTTACGTGTTGTGCGGCCCTGGTGTGGAAACGATGACTGTACATCGACGGGGCATCGACGTTGCAGCGTCGATACCAGGGCGATGTGTCGACGATGCATCATCTCTACCTCGGCGATGTATAAGACGATGCACAGAGCGGTCCGCCAATCGGCGATGTGTCGACTGTGCATGGGCGATATGACTGCGGGTCGAGGTCGATGCGTTCCCCCCCCGATCCTTGGCCCTCATCTCCATCTCCTCCTCCTCCTCCCCCTCCTCCTCCCCCTCCTCCTTCTCCTCCTCACCCGCCTCCTTCCTCCCTGCGTTTCACCCACCCAGTACAGTGCTTCGTGGCCCCATAGGGAGCTCCACCGAAGGCCCCAGTGCCACTGCCAGCATGCGCCAGCCACACAGATTTCGGCCCACCCCTCACACGTTTCGTGGCCCCATGGGGAGCTCCACCGAAGGCTCCAGTTGCACTGCTCGCATGCGTTTCCCCCACCACTTTGGCACACCCCTCACGCGCTTCGCGGCCCCATAGGGACCTCCACCGAAGGCCCCAATGCCACCGCCCGCATGCGTCACCCACACCCATTTCGGCACACCTCTCATACGTTCCGTTGCTCCATAGCGAGCTCCACCGAAGGCCCCAGTGCCACCGCCCGCATGCGTCACCCACGCCAATTTCGGCACACCCCTGACCCGTCTCGTGCCCCTATAGTGATCTCCACCGAAGGCCCCAATGCCACCGCCTGCATGCGTCACCCACACCCGTTTCGGCACACCTCTCTCACACACGTTTCGTGGCCCCATAGGGAACTCACCAGGGGCCCCGGTGCCACCGCTCGCAAGCCTCACACACACCCATTTCGGCACACCCTTCTCCTCCTCCTCCTCCTCCTCCTCCTCCTCCTCCTCCTCCTCCTCCTCCTCCTCCTCCTAGTCCTCCACCTCCTCCTCCTCCTCCTCCACCTCCTCCTCCTCCTCCTCCTCCTCCTCCTCTTCCTCTCTCATCCTCCTCCTCATCCTCCTCCTCCTCCTCCTCCTCCTCCTCCTCCTCCTCCCCCTCCTCCTCCTCCTCCTCCTCCTCCCCCTGGCAGGGGGGAGAAAACGGGGGGGGGGCACTCGCTGTCGGACCGGGGGGGGGGGGCAGCGATCGCCGGGCGCGGCGCCGCGGCAGGGGCCTCGCGCGCGGCGCGTTTCTCTTGCCTCTGGCGGAGGGTCGGCGGAGGGACGTCTGGGACGTCGACGCGCGTTTGGTGATCCGGGGCCTCCAGAGCGTGTCAGGATCCAGAGGGCGACCAGGAACAAAAAAACACTGCGAAACGTTTCTGGAAACATGTATTGCCATTGACATGTCTTTGTTCGCATCCGTGGGCCTTTTTTAGATTAGTTGTTGTTGTAAGGTACCGATGCCGCTACCCTTGCCCGATTTTCACCTTTTCGGGCCCCCATGGGAGATCCTCGTCGCCACGGCCAGGTTCGCCTCGAAGTCCTGGTCAGAAGGCGCATTGGGAGAAGTCCGGAGAGTGCGGTACGAGCCCCCCCCCCCAACGAGGACTACCCACTTACCGTAATCCAGACCTCAGTGACACCGGGCCTGGTCCGCGCGAAGTGGGCGTGACACCTGTATTATTGCGACACGCTTGTCTCGGAATGATGCTCCAGCTTGTCTCGGGAATGATGCTCCGGAATGATGCTCGGTATGTGTTGCTGTCCCAAGGTGGGCAGGCCCTCCAGGTCGTGGGATCGACGTAGCTGCTGCTCAGGATTTGGCCTTGCCGGGCGAGCAGGGCCGCCTACGATCCGATTCGGTGCGATCCGATGCGCTGGCCGGGGCCGCGATTCCAATTCGATGCGATCTGGCTCTGTTCACCGACATCGGCCAGGGCCAGCCGGAAGCGGAGCGCGGCGATTCGATGCCGATCCGATTCGGGACGATTCGCTGGCGATGCGATCCGCTCTCGATGCGAGCAGATCTCGCGATCCGATCCAGCGCAGACCTTGTTGGGTCGAGTCTGCGATAGGTTATGCCGGATGTTGCGCCCTCGGCGCCGCCTGCGCCCTGGAGGCCCAGGAGAATGGGGGTTTCGGGCGCTCGCTGTATGTAAAGGGCCCGCCCCTCTGTTTCAATACAGTGGGGGCCCATGCCAAGAGACACCATGCTTGCCTCCAGGGTGCCCTGGGTTTCTTGGGTTTCGGTGGTTTTGCGGTGGAAGCGCGACGCTCCCACACCAATGCTCCATGGACGTCCTGGGGTCTCAGGGTTGGGTTTCTTGTGGAAGGTTTCTTGTGGACTGGCCTCCCCTGTGTGTACAGGTGCGTGCGCTGGCTCTTCCGCGACCCGGCCGTTGCTACAGACGATTCGTGCCCCACTGCGCCGTTGACAGCAAGTTCGCACCGCCTCTCAGAAACCGCCACATGGTCTGAATATGATGTGTTTGTGTAACTTGTCCTCGGCAAGCGAGCTTGCGAGCCTCCCATCGGGCAGAACGCCTTAATCCCAGCCAGACGTGCTTTGAAAGTAGTGGTACGCGCCCCGTGTAGGCCCCTTGCCCAGACGGGGCGCCCACCCTTCTAGCGGAAGAGGTGCCCAAGGACACAACCGCGGATATCTCGGGCGGTTAGTTGCCAGCAGCGCCGCCCCGCCATCGGATCGCGGAGCCAACGCCGTGAGCTAGTGCTGGCTCGAAGAGGACCCCCTTGTGACAGGGTGCACGTCGCAGGCCCAGCATGATGTCGGTCCACCTGCGCTGCCGCTCACAGTTGCTCAGGACAATCGAAATTGGTACAGAAAGAATGGGCACGATGCCCAACAGCAGTTCCTGTTCATTTTGATCAGGACTCGCTGTTCGCGCCGCCGCCTGAAGACAGAAGGCCGCCTGCCCAACAGCGGCCGATGTTGGTTTGGGACAACATTTGTTGATGGGCATTGTACAATTTTTTTCCGTACCCATTTCGGGCGTCCAAAGTTGCCACCGCGCTTGGGGTGCAGCTTAGGTTTTCAGCGTCGCCGCACTGATGTCGCGTTGCCTGCCTGGGCCGTGTCGCCGTGTCTAGTACAGGCCACGTTGAATGCTGCGCATGAGCATCGGCCGTGTCTAGTACAGGATGGCTAGCGGCTAATTGCGTCCCCCTTCATAAAGGGTTCTCGCACGCGTCGGAGATTGATCCAGTCCGACTTGAATGCTTGTCTTGACTGCCTGCATTTTCCGTCCGATCTCCGAATTGGGGCAGGCCTGTTGGATTCTTCAAGTTTCCAGCCGGAATTCCGCTCTCGCTGTCGCACCATCTAATTTCTCTGGGGATGTTGTTCTTGCTGCGGTTCTGGCCATGCACAGTTAAACATGTTGTTTCCACCATTTCGCTGCATACATTCCCAGATCCGAACTCTTACCCGAACTACCACCTGCCATGAACAAGTCCCTGTCAGGACCCCGCCAAGGCCCCTTACCATGGTCCCACAAGTATCCCTGCCAGGAGCCTGCCAGAATCCTGACACGACCCGAGCTGGACCCTGCAAGGCCCTGCCGGGACCAGGCCAGGACTGACGGGCACGACCCTGCCAGGACCACGCCTGGACCGCCGCTGCAGCGCCCCGCGCGCCGACCCCACCAGAAGCCCACCGCGACACCGCCAGGACCCTGCCGGGACCCCCCCAGCACCCATGTCCAGGATCGCACCAGAGCCGGCACCTCCCGTCTGCCACGGCCGCCGGCGGGGCTCCCCTCTTCGGCCGCCGCCGCCAGGAGTTCCAGGCGGCCATCAGCGCCTGCCACTCGCGCGGTGCCGAGAGGTGCGCGAAGGCCCTCCCACAGCGGTGCTTCCTCCTGCGCAGCGTCGTCGTCGTCGCGCTCCTCGCCCTCGTGGCCAGTCTGGCCCGGAAGTCTCGGCTCGCAGGGCCCTGGGTGGCCCTCCCACGAAGAAACCCGCTGGCCCCCCAGCACCCAGGTTTAAGTCGGGCCTGTCCCTCTATAGGGGGAATATTCAAAAATAGTCAACAAATACTCTAGGGACTATTTTTTGAGTGTTTGGGGCATCTTTTGAGCATGTTTGGAGTATTTGTTTCGTCGAAAATCCCCCTGTAGGGGGACCGGCCCGACTTCACCCTATGTCCAAGTGCGCGCCTGGAGCGCTCACTGTCCGAAATCGGGCACCTGGCAGTGTTCTGTGAGGTCATCTCCACAAAGGACTTGCGTCAGGCATTGGCGAGGCCTTGCCGCCGCGAACGCGGCGGGGCCACGACGATGGCCGCGGCTGTACCACTGAAGGTCCAACATGTTCACCAAACCGTGCCCCGGACAGCCGCCCTGGCAGTTGCAAGCCGAGTCTTGCATGATGAGCACGCAGTCAGCCCAGAGACGCCGAAACAGTGAGCCGCTCGGGTTCGGAGGGGGGGCCGCTGTGGTGTTCCCCGGGTCCTTCAACTTCGTTTTTCCTCTGGCGCTCCTCGTGCATGCACACGGGCGCTCTGAGAGTCTAACGTGGTACTCTTTCACTATTCAGCGTTCTTTTTGGTGGTAGCAGGTGAGCGTTCCTTATTCAGGATTTTTTCCAGATTTCCAGTTTTCATTATTCAGCTTTGGTCGTACCCTCAGGTGAGACGGCAGGGAGAATATTCGCCCCCCACCCACCCCCCGCCAACTTAGTGCTTGTCGCTTTCGTAGAGGCTGCCTCTGTGCCGAGCCACGCGGGTTCGCGCACAGAGTGGCAGCGCACTCGATGTGGCGGGACCCAGGAGAGAGCTCAGGACGTAACCAGCCATGGGACGTGGATAGCGCGGGCGCTGGCGGTCGGGACCGCTTGCTGCACGAGGCCGGGTGCAATGGAGCTCCGATGCAGTGGCGCTGCACGGCGCCAGCGAAGTCAGAACCACGAGGCCATCGCATTCCAAGGGGGGCCAGAGAGTTCAGTCGACTTCGAATTCCGCCGCGAGCCGCGCCGCGCCCCCACTTCTCGTGCTGTGCGCGCGTGGGCCCTCCCGGGGTTTCAGACTTCTCCGTCGCGGCCCTGCAGCTCTGCAGTAATGTTCATTGCAGCGGCGTGATGACTGGGTCCCAGGGCCCCGCCGGTTCACAGGCCTCCAGGTGCTTACATCAGCTCCCTGGCGTACCTTGCCCGCTATTGTCCCCTGGCAAAAGGTAAGATGATTCTACAAGTTTGCATGGCGTTGTGAGTAACGCAGTCTTGGGTATCGTATTCGGTGGATATCCCTATGAGGCCTTGATGCGTGTGTGGGGTGCGCCAACATGGGTGCCGGTACGCCACGCGCTGCCACTGAGGCATTCGGTGGAGCCCCCTATTGGGTGCGCACGTGGTGTGCGACAGAATGGGGGGTGGAAGCGCAGGCGGGCGGTGCTGCTGAGACCTTCGGTGGAGCTCCCTCTTCTGGGGCCACGACACGTGTGAGGGGTGCGCCGACTTGGGGGGTGGAACCACATGCGGGCACTGCCACTGGCGCCTTCGGTGGAGCTCCCAACGAAACGTGTGAGGGGTGCTCCGAAATGAGGGTGGAACCGCATGCGGGCGCTGTCACAGGGCCTACGGTGGAGCTCCCTATGGGGCCACGAAACGTGTGGGAGGTGGGCTGGAACGGGGGTTGGAAACGTAAGGGGGCGCTGCCACTGGCGTCTTTGGTGCAGCCTACCATGGGGCCACGCGACGTGTGAGGGGTGCGCCGTAACAGGGGGTAGAACCGCATGCGAAACGAAACGTGTGAGCGGTGCTCCAAAATGCAGTGTGGAAGCGTCTTGCGGGCGTTGCCACTGGGTCCTTCGGTTGTGTTCCCTGTGGGGGGGGGAGACGAGAACCCAGAACAAAATGGGGAAATATCGGGGATCCAGAAATTTGCCACAAGAAAGAAGAGGGAGGAAGCAATGGGGAAACCATGAGATGCGGAAATGGGGAATCCTGAGAGAATATGGAAGAAATGGCACAACATGGAACATTTCGGGAGCCCTTGTACTTGCGTGGAGCTCTCTGTGGGCCCCTCGAGGGCCCTTGGCTCTCGGGCTCCCGGGGTGGGCGGCCGGGCCGTGGCAGGCAGGCCTGCGGCACCGCTTTGGCGGCGGCCGCGGGGGGGGGGAGGGGTAAAACGACGCGAAGATGGGGACAAAATCGGATCGGGATAACTCGATATCTCTGAGAATCGGCGGGTTTGGAGGATGTCTTGGGCGCCGCGGCCGCTCCAGAGCGTGCCGGAACGCTCTGAGAGCGCTCCGGAACGCTCTGGAGCGATTTATCCCGATCCTAGCCCTGTTTTTCAGGGGGGGGGGGGCGACCCTCGGCGGGCGGTGTCCCTGCCGGCGGGTGGCTCGGGGACCCTGCCTCGGGGACCCTGGCTCGGGGCTCGAGGCGACGGGGGTCGAGGCACGCGGGGGCCAGCCGGAGCCGGGGGAGCGAAGAGGAGCAGAAACACAGAATTTCGGAGGTCCCCGCGGCTCGGCGCTGGGGCCCCCTGGCGGCGCCTCCGGCGCCGCCCCTGGCGCGCTCCGCGCGCCAGGGAGGGGTGTTCAGCGCCGAATCGAGAAATCCGCGCGGAAGCCGCGGGGGGGGCGTCGGGGGGCTCAAGAGGGGGGGGCCATGGCGCCAACATCGCAGAGCGGATTCCGTTCGGAGAACGATAGGATGGGCCCGGAGTGTCCTGGAGAAGTTCGTTCCGGATTTCGAGGCGAATTTCACGCGGATCTTTGTTTGGCCGGGAGTGAAGATGAACAAACATCCACGCGATATTCATTTCGTTTTTCATTTGCCGTTTCGGGGTCTTGCGTTGACAGAAATCCATTCAAAAATCCGCTGCAGCACGGCTGCAAGGTCGGTGCAGCGGGGGGGTCAATGCAAACGGGGGTCAGCCAGAGCGCCCGATTTTGCAGGATCCTGCAGTGCCAGGGTCGCATTGGCCCGGGCTTGAGTGCAGGATGCTGCAGGATCTTGCAGGAGCCTTCGCACTGGATCTGGTTTGGGCGCAGGATCTTGCAGGATCTTGCTGGAGTCTGCAAGGCCTGACTGACCTGGGTCTGGATTGACCCGGGTCAGAAGATTCAGGCCCCCAGAGACCAGGACACTTTTTTGGCGTCGGCGGCTTGGCAGCGAGCGACTGCGCTGGCGATGAGAGGCTTGAGCGGGGATGCCGTTAGAGCGAAGTGTGCCACCATGCAGGAGGAGGAGGAGGAGGAGGAGGAGGAGGAGGAGGAGGAGGAGGAGGAGGAGGGAGGAGGGACGCGGCCGAAGGAAATCAAGGACGGGGCGGGCGGCTCAGGGGTCAGAACGCTCCCCGAGCGTGTGGCGCGGCCGGCCCCGCCGCGGGGCGCGCGGCGGCTGCTGCGACGTCGGGCTGGGTGCGGCGGGGCCCAGTGCGGGGAGCGGAGACCAGGACACAGACTGGCCAGGGCACGGGCAAGTCGGGGAAACGGCACCCGTTCCTGCAACGTCCGATGTGGTCGTCCAGTGCAGGTGTTGGTTGCTGCTCTGCAGGGTTCGGGTCCTTGTCCAGGTTCAGGGTGTGTTTTTGCATGCTTTGAGGGCCTGCGTCCGGGGTAATTCCGGAAGTGTTGCAGTGCAGTTTTTGTTCCGTGCCGCCGTTTGGAAAAAATTGTTTAGAGGGGTGTTGGATTTCCTGGTCCAGCGTGTCTGGGTCTACGGGGCCCTGATTGGTTCGGGAGCCTTCAGACGGGGGTCAATGCCAACGGGGGTCAGCCAGAGCGCCGGATCTTGCAGGATCTTGCAGAGCCAATGTCGCACAGACCCGGGCTTGAGTACCCTCCAGGCAAGGCTCCCCGACTGGTTCTCTGAGTGGTCTTCTCTGGAGCCGTCTGGGGGTCTGCGGTGACCCAGCACGGGCAGCTTTTAGATTCTGGGTTCGAGGAGTTGTTTTTTGCCTGTTTCAGCTTCCGGGAGCCGTTTTCGGGCTCCACGACCGTCAACCCTAGCCTCCAATTCGCCCCGAAACATTGAGATTTGACTCGAGGTTGTCGCGATGTCCCGCGCAGTTTTCGAGTTTCTATAAGAATGGCAACTGTAAGACTGTCGTGCCTATGTTCATCGTTACTGGACGAACGGCGTTGGACTCGGGTCGGGCGAAAGGGGGGGTTTGGGAAAGGGGGTGTTACGAAATCTGCTGCATGGAGCTGGTTTCGGCCCCGCCGCCGGGCCCATTCCTCGATACATGGGCGCCTCCCGGCGCCGGGAGGCGCCGGGAAAATCAGCTACGTGAGCTGATTCTCAACCCCCCCCTTTGCTATCCCCCCCTTTCGCCCGACCCGATAGACATCCTCACATGTCCTTGTCTATCCGTGTCTACTTTTGCAGATTGGGTCTATCTGTTCATGTCTAGTTGTGTTTATCTCATAGTGTTGTAACTATACGTGTATAGCCCGTCGTGCCTACTTCCGCGATCCACCCGCATCGGGGATCCATGGTTTCGCGCGTGTGTGTTTTCCATATTTAAACTTGCATTGGCGTGGGTGGTAGTATAGATTTATATGTACACATATATATACACAACCATATATACATATATATATATGTATATATGTATATATATATATGTATGCGTAGATACAAACAAACATGTATGGTGTAGATACAGGTATATGCGTATGGGATGGAGTCAAGGAGAGAGAGAGAGAGAGAGAGGGAGGGATAGAGAGAGAGAGAGAGAGATAGAGAAAGAGAGTGAGAGAGAGAGATAACGAGTGTGCAAGGGAGAGGGAAGGAGGAACGCTGAGGAGTGCGATGGAGTATGGGTGAGTCTGAAGGAGTGCCGAGGAGCGCGATGGAGTGGGGTGTGGTGGATTGCAGTGGAGCG